GCTGCCGGGTCTCACATTGAAACGGAGGACATTGTCCTCTACACACTAAAGGGATTGCCTCCCTCTTACAATCCCTTCAAAGCTGCAATACGCATCTCACCCCACACCATTACTCTTGAATCACTCTACTCCTTATTGTGCAGTGAGGAGATAAATCTTCAGTCGGAGATCCAACAAGAGCTAACATCCACTGGTAACATCCAAGCAATGTATTCCTCTCGTGAAAGAGGTAGAAGCTCTTCATCCAGATCCAACCGAGGCCGCGGAGGAAATCCAAGTCCAATAAACTCAAATCCAAGAACACCTCCTTCCATGAATCGTACCACCTCCCGCCCCTCCTGCCAGATATGCGGGAAAACAGGGCACTCTGCTTTATCCTGCTGGCACAGATACAATACGAATTACACAGAGTCCTCGGCTAACAACTCTCGAGCATATATGGCTCAATCCCAGCCCACCAACACTGCTGATTGGATTCTGGATTCCGGGGCGTCCACCCATCTTACACCCGACATCCTCAACGTTCAGCAGCCCTCATCCTACCACGGAGGAGACACCATATCAACAGCAAGCGGATCGTCTCTGCCTATTCAGAACAGCGGATCTGGTCTCCTTCCTCTACCCGATACCAACCGTAAGCTCAAACTCTCTAACCTTCTTCATGTTCCTTCTCTCTCACACAACCTTCTCTCAATCTCTCAACTCGTAACTGACAATCATTGTTCTGTCTCATTTGATCCCGACGGCTACGTCATTAAGGATCTTCGGGACAACACAACTCTCCATCATGGCCTTAATCACAACGGCATCTATCCTCTCCAAACATCCATCACCACAACTAGTTCTGCTCTTCACACCACTCCGAGTTCTGCTCTTCTCTGGCACACTCGTCTGGGTCACGCTCACCCCCGCGCGATGGCAGTTCTCTCCAAAACTATCTCTGCTCTTCAGCATTGCTCTTTTAACTTTGAATGTAATTCTTGTAACATGGCGAAAAGCCATCGTCTTAAGTTTCCTAGTAACGCTTATCATGTAACTACTCCTTTCACTTTAATACACTCGGATGTTTGGGGTCCTTCTCCGGTCACCTCTGTAAATGGTTTCAGGTATTATGTCATCTTCATAGATGATGCAACTCGGTTTAGCTGGCTCTACTTAATGAATACTAAGAATGAAACCATAACAAAATTTCTACACTTTATAAAAATGGTTAAAAATCAATTCAACACCAACATCAAAAACTTTAGATCGGATGCTGGAGGTGAATACACCAGCATCGCCTTTAAAGACCTTCTCGTCACTCACGGCATTACACATCAATTCAGTTGTCCCCATACCCCTCAGCAAAATGGGGTCTCGGAACGAAAACACAGACACTTAATCGAAACCACCCGTACCCTTCTTCATGCCGCTAATCTTCCCTTCCGCTTCTGGGCAGAAGTTCTTCAAACTTCAAATTATATTATCAATCGTCTTCCAACGTCTGCTCTCAATTCCAAAATTCCCTACACTCTTCTCCACAGCCGATCTCCAACCTACGATCACCTTAAATCCTTCGGCTGTATCTGTTTCCCGTGGCTTCAACCTTACACTCCACATAAACTCGCTCCCCGATCACCCCAGTGCATCTTCCTCGGATATTCTCCTAATCACAAAGGCTACCGATGCTTTCATCTACCTACCAATAAACTTTACATATCCAGACATGTCAAATTCCTAGAGCAACAATTCATTTCCTCTCCACCCAACCCAACTTCCTCTAAACCAACCTACACTTACATTCCACCACCCCTTCTTTTGCCTACATCCACCTTAACTACAACACAAACTACTCCATCCGTTTCTGATCCTATCCCGTCACAGCCCTCTTTATCCCTTCCTGAAACTCCAATCCTCCCAAACACCTCCCAGTCCTACACCATCGAACAACCTATCACTGTACATCACATGGAAACCAGATCTAAGACAGGCCACTCCAAACCCAAGAAAGTCTTTGATTTACTTGCTGTTGAAAACGTCTCCTCCACCCCATCAACCTATAAAGCTGCCTCCATTCACTCCCACTGGCAAGATGCTATGTCCGCGGAAATTGAGGCTCTCAACAAACAAAACACTTGGACTCTTACATCACCACCACCCAAAGCTCCCGTTCTTGGCTACCGATGGACCTACAAAACTAAGCTCAAACCAGACGGCACACTTGATCGACACAAAGCTAGGCTGGTGGCTCAAGGCTACACGCAGCAATACGACATCAACTACAAGGACACATTCAGTCCTGTGGCCAAAATGCCCACAATCAGAATTCTACTGATTATTGCTCTTCAAAGAAGCTGGCCTTTACTTCAGTTTGATGTAAACAACGCCTTTCTTCATGGAGACCTCAAGGAAGACGTATACATGCAGCAACCACCTGGTTTCACTGACCCGGCTAGACCCAACCACGTCTGCAAACTTCATAAGGCTCTCTATGGTCTTAAACAGGCACCCCGCCAGTGGTTTCACAAATTGAGAGGTTTTCTTGTTCAATTCGGATTCAATTTCAGCCGGGCAGATCCCTCCATGCTTGTTTACAGCCAAGGCATTATACAGTTATACATAATCATATATGTTGATGATTTGCTGTTGACGGGTAATCACCAGCCCACCATCAATGCTCTACTAAAAGACCTGAATGACACATTCGATCTAAGACAAATGGGCCGAGCAAATCTCTTTCTTGGAATTCAGATAGCCTATACCAAGAACGGTGCCTTCCTCCACCAATCTCATTATGCAAGGGATATATTACTTGCCTCGGGGCTTCAAGACTGCAAGTCAGCTAGCACTCCAATCATCGTGGCAGGGCACTCAGCCGATTCCAATCTTTAACCATATGATAATCCCAAGCTCTACAGACAACTTGCAGGTTCTTTACACTATCTTACGATCACTCGTCCCGATCTTTCCTTTGCAGCTAACGTGATCTGTCAATCAATGCACAATCCGACGATCACCGATTTTCTCAAGCTCAAACGACTGATATGATACATCAAGGGGACTCAACACTTGGGATTACCGATTTCCTCCGGTTCACTTGAACTCACAACTTACTGTGACGCCGACTGGGCAGCTAATACGACCGACAGGAAATCCATATACGGCTTCTGCACATTCCTCGGTCCCAACCTCGTCTCGTGGAGTGTAAAGAAACAAACGACTGTGGCTAAGTCCTCCACCGAGGCAGAATACAGAGTATTGTCCTCAGCACTCTCCAATGTGATCTGGTTGCGTCGTCTTCTCTCTGATTTTCACATCGCTCTCACCTCTCCCATCACAATGCTTTGCGACAACCTTTCGGCACTAGCCCTCGCTCACAACCCAGTCTTTCATGCTCGGACGAAGCACATTGAAATTGATCATCATTTCATACGTGATCACATCCAACAACAAACCGTGACTGTATCTCATGTCTCCTCCGACGAACAGCTCGCCGACATTCTAACCAAGCCATTACCGGTCACAAGGTTCATTACTCTGCGCAACAAATTGAGCATCAGCACTCTAGAGGCTCAATTTGCGGGGGCATGTAAAGATAATAAAGAAAAAGAAATTACATGTGGCTAAGGCCACTACCGCTCTCAGCTTTTTCTCTGTTTTTTCTGCTCTGTCCACCGTACGGGTCCACTACTCTGATCCTAACGGCTTACCATGATTATTCATTGGCTTATAAAAGCCAACTCAGAGTGTAATGGAAGACAGCTTTTTGCATCATGAATTACTGTTCATCTTCTTCTACCTCCGGTTTCTAACCTTTTATGCAGGTTATTTTATGTTCTTTTTAGTGACGTGGCATGTTTTTATTGGATGTCGGAACCTATTCTACGCGTCCGGTGACCGGATGTAATAATTTGCCTTAGCAGAGAATGATATAGATAAGACCATCTCCAATTTTGATCGACATATCTAAAGTTTTCTGTTTCACAAAAATATTTTATTTTATTTTCCAGTATTATCTTCTAAAATATATATAAAAATATCTTGCATCTTATTGATAATTTTGTATACTTTTTTTTAATTATATTTTTGAATGAAATTCTATTTAAAATATTTTTAAGTCAAATTTTTTGGATTGAAGAATTATACAATCTTATCTCTTTTTGGCTGATAAGGGAGAACAATACAGATAAAGCAATAAGGACAATTAGATGATGGTTGGATTAATAAAATAAACAGATTGCTATAGACCAATTTTTTTTTCCTAGTAAATCTAAATTTGCAATATGTATTAAATTTCAAAATAGTTTTATGACTATTTGTATATGATCATTTTAGTCTTAGGCTTCATTTCAGATAGCTTTAAATTGTTTTTTTTTTTTACATTCTTTCAAAAGATTTTTATACTAAAAAATAACTTTTCAAAGCAATAAGAAAGCCCTCCCAAACTAAGCCTTAGATTACAACATCACTCTAATTTATATTTTGTTTGGGTTGACTTTTTTAATTTTTTCTAAAGCTGTTTTTTAGTAGAAATTTTTGTACTATAAAGTTGCTTTAGAAATCAACTAAAAGGTTGTCTAAAAAGCAGCTTTTTATATTTTGTTCGGGACAACTTTTTATTGCTTCTTGAAGCAGCTTTTTATACAAAAATTTTGTACTAAAAAGCTGCTTCAAGAAGCAGTAAAAAAGTAGTCCCAAAAGAAGCCTTAGTCTCTCTATTCTACCGGCTCTAAAGTGGGATAAATTTTGTAAAATGAAGAGATTAAATTGGGATCAATTTAATATAACAATTATAATAAAAGGAATTATTTTGTATTATTTTTTTTATAATCGATGATTAAGTTGAGACAAAATGCTATTTTACGATTAAGTTTTCTTCTGGGACGGCTTTTTATTATTTTTTTAAAATATTTTTTATTATAAAAATTTAAATTTTTTTATTAAAAATTACTTTAAAAAATAGTAATAAAATTATGCCAAAAAAGCCTAAATTTACCTTACACGAAAATTGGGTTTTATCCTTAAAATAAGAGGCCCAACAAACGGTTGATAAGGTTTTCGTCTAGGAGAAGAGGGCGCGCAATGGAGGAAACTGCAGGTGGAGTTATCAGCCCTCTTCCTAATATTCAACCAAAGCACTTTGTTCTCGTACATGGCGCCGGCCATGGAGCCTGGTGCTGGTTCAAGCTTCGACACCTTCTCGAAGTCGCCGGCCACAAAGTCACCTGCGTTGACCTCGCCGCCTCTGGAATCGACCTCGCTCATCCCTCCTCCATCCTCTCTTTTGACGACTATAACAAGCCACTCGTCGATTTCATGTCTACATTTTCGGAAGGAAATAAGGTACAAGACAAAAAGAATTGGTGATATTGTATAGTCTGAACTATATAATGAGGATTTTTTGAATTTTTCATCTTCCGCGTAGGTGATTTTGGTGGGACACAGCGCTGGGGGGCTGAGTTTGAGTCACTCCCTGCACAATTTTGGGGACAAAATTGAGGTCGCCGTATTCATTGCAGCCACGATGCTACCGTCAGGTTTCTGCACTGAAGAAGATGTTAAAGATGTGAGTTGATTCCAGAGATTCTTTTAGGAATAATTGTTCATTCATGGATTAGATTTAAGTGATATTAACTTCAAGTTTCTTAAGCTTGGTACAATTTGTGTGTTGAATTAACTAATTTGAATATGATTTGTTTGACTGAAATAATTTGCATAACTTAAATTTTTTCTAACTTTATTTTGTTACATAGTAAGGTGAAAACAAATTTTGTAATGGTAGGTGGCAACAGTGTTTTAAAGCTTGATATCAATTCAGTTTCAGTCTTGTCATCGAAATTTTGTTATCTGTGGATGATTTGTAATTTCAGTGATAATTTTGTGTTCAGTTTCAGCTGTTTTCATTTTAAGAAAAATAGATATTAAGGTTATTTTTTAAAAAATATAAGTATATTTTTCTGATAAATTTTAAAACCATATGCAACACATTTGTATTGATCATATATATATATATATTAGTCATGAAATTGAGAGAGCATGTACAAGAGGAGAAACTAGGGTTGGTTTGGGATAGTTGCAAATATTTGTAGAATTAGCTGTAGAGCTATTGTAGGAAAAATAGAGTTTTTAAAAATTATTGTGGGTATTATAAACTTGTTTTCTTTAGAAAAAATCAGAAAGAATAACTCTTTTGTGAGTCAAGACTCAATCATGAAGACTATGAATATAATATTTAAAACCTGCATCAATGCATTTAATTAATCACAATTCATTAAACATGAAAGATAAAATATAATTAAAACATATCATAATATTAGAGTTATTATAAAATATTATTTATTTTTTGCTCTCTTAGCCATTTTCCTCCTCCCTCTCCTTTTTTTTTGCCCTCTTCCCCCTTTTTCCTCTCATTCACCCTCTTTCTCTCTCTACTCTCATTCACTCCTCTCCTTAATCATTACCCCTTTAGTCTCACTTCCTTTCTCATTCGTTCTATTCATCTTCATCCTCTTTTATAGCAGTATATTGTTGACTCACTTGTTGAATTGCTGCATCAATACATGCTTATGTCTCCACATTTATGTGAGATTGTAGATTCTCAATAATAGCAGCTACCTGGCACCACTTCATTTCTTGCAATTTATCTCGTTCATAACTAGGATAGGGGGTATATAAGAATTGGACATCATAAGATATACCAAGCTTAATTCATAAACTCTTTTTTTTTTTAATTCTTCAACTACATGTGTCTATAGTCCATAATTTAAATGTTGTAATGATTGACTTGAACCTCCCTCCCCTACAGAGTTTTGACTTTGTATATCCGTTAACTACATGTACTAATCCTACAAAAGATTAATATTGATGAAATTTTCAAAATATTAAATAATTAACATTTATATTACAAATAATTCGTAATTAATATATTATCCACCAAAAATTAATTTTTTGCTGATGGGTTGTTCACTAGAGTTCTATTGTTGATGGCTTTCATAGCCAGCTGATTTTTCATCAAATCTGTCAAATATACTTGTAAAAAATTCTATCATTATTTCTTCCATATATTTTCATATTTTCTTGTGGTGTATTGATTACTTATGATATGAGAAGAGGCATGTAACTCAAAATAGTGGATGTGCTAATAAAAATAAATGTAATGGAATTAGACGAATGAGAGGCAAAGACATGTTTGTGATTTTGGAAATAGATGATCATAGTTTTCTTGGGAAATAATAATTGAATAGGAAGAGGATGCACCATGAATAACAATAAAGACGGGCCTAATATGGATGCATGTTGCGCAATCAAAGGATATTTGAATTTCTCCTAACAATATTCAAGAAGATGATTAGTGCAACTAAAATAAGGTCAAGGGGGAAGAGTATTTTTGTCTATAGTCACCATTATTTATGCCACTTAATCCATGATTGGCCTTGGTACCTCTTGAGGTAAGTACCAAAGTTGATTTGTAATGGGCTTGATATTAAGAGGTGGAGAGCTCAATTAGACAAAAAACCTAGAAGAAAGAAGTCACAATATTATGCACCCTAGAGTCGGCTTTGAATTGTGGGTGTATACCTTATAGTGAAAAGAGTTGACTAGAGATAAATTCGGAACTATAAATTCTCTATTTTTCTTCTGCCAACCAATCTAATCAGTCCTAAAGAGGTGATATTGGTGTAACTCATCCTATTTGTCGCACTGGATGTTACATAAATATAACTCCTTTAAAGCAATGCAAAATGAAGAAATTTTCATATCATCTCATCTGAATGTTGAAATATGTTAGTGGAAATGATAAATGGTTGTAGACTAATGAGTAACTAAGTAAGAACAAAAAATCGGATGTTTTTCATTTAAAAAACTTGATGATATCAATGCTTTCTAGTTTCTAGAGAAGATGCAATAAGATTATAGAGTTATTTGTGAGATATGACAAGAAAATAAAGTGCCCTAAACCAAGTAGATTCTTGGTATTATATAATTTGATGATGGTACCAATGGTAGAGAAGGGTTTCTTCTCAATAGGAGGTGCAGAAGTCGTGACATCATGCAGAGAAAAATACAAAATTGAAGAGAAATTAAAATAATTGAGATGAAAATATTATAGATTATCATCAGAAATATTAATCACATGTGATAAAATTAATATGATAATATAATAAATTTAATCAAGAAGCTACACTAAATGGAGATCAGGAAGCCTGAGAGAGACGAGGTCTATGAGATGGATTAGTGATGTCTTGTACAAGATCCATGACGCTATGTGAGATCTATAGGACATGAGAATGATTGAATCACTGTTATATGAAGGGTTAGAAATGACACTTGGAAGACAATTATAAGCTAGCGAGCTAGAGAAAGTGATGATTAACTAGTTTTCAGACAAGATGAAGACAAACACGAGCAAGAGAGTAGCGATCAGCAGGCTCTCGAAAGAATGTTCTCAAGAGCGAAGATAATCTCATGCGGCATGATAGAAAACTTGAGAACTAGCTCTGATGACCTGTAAGAAATCAGAAATCATAAAATATTATATATTTATTTGATTTATTTGGTTATAGTACAAATATGCTTATATAAAGAAAAGAGAAATAAAAAAATAACAAAAAAAATCATCAATAATGAGGATATGATATAGTAATAAATATTATAGATTCCTATCATAAATATTAATAAAATTAATCATATGTGATAATATTTATATGATTATTAACATATTAACTCTAGTAAGAGATAGGGGTGGGGAATGTTGAATAATGACCAAGACTTAGTTGTGCTCTAATATCATTTGAGAGTAAAGATTTTAGGGAATCTACTGTTGACTAAATATAATTACTTATATATAGGCAAGCAAGAGGAATGTAAAGGGAACAAATAATTATGATAATATTCATGATTATTTGTTTATAAAAATATATTACCCTAATAAGACATGCTCCCAATATGATCTTTTCCCAATATTGCTTAATATGCCTACATATTTTTCCTAAGAAAATAAATAAGTTAGTTATAGTGGAATTTTTATGAGATAAGAATATTCCTTAAAAGTAGGAAAAGATATATTATAATATAATATGTGGAACATATTTTTCCTAAGAAAATAAATTAGTTATAGTGGAATTTTTATGAGATAAGAATATTCCTTAAAAGTAGGAAAAGATATATTATAATATAATATGTGGCTAGCATTATGAACCATATTATTTGGCTTGCTCTAAGTAATGATGCAATTGAGCTTTAACTGTTGGAGTTGGGGGTGTCGATTCAATTTGATGTGTTGGGTTCGGGTATGACCGTAAGTTGACCAAATACAAATTTGCTTGACCCAAACCTAACTCACTTATTATATGGGTCAAAATACTTGGCTCTTTATTTAGCCCATTTGTTACATGGATCATGCAATTTTTAAAATTAGCATGACCAATTAATCTTAATATGGTCATTTAACCCAATTAACTTGACTCATCTTTGCCTAACACGAATGGACGAAACTAAACCTAGATAATAAACAAGTCAATTATGTGTTGATTTTTATGTTTTTCGGGTCAATCCAAAGCTATCTGAATAATAATCGGAGACTATAATTTAGACCTGAGCCTGCCTAGAAAAATAATTGGGTCAACCCAAATCCAAATTTTCAAATTCAATTTAAGTTGTAGGTTGTCATGTCGGTTTATTTGTTGACTCCCCTAATTGGAGTGGCTTAATATTTTTCTAAATTTTTTCTCTTATACGCCAAAATTACTCCTTCCATTGGAAGGATTGCTTGAATCTACAACCATGCATATACCTATATCTATATATAAATATTTCAATTTTGGAGGTCAAAGATAAAAATGCATGACCAACTAATTACTACATGTTTTTTTAATGATCATATTCTAAGAGTAAGTTGTACATGCATTCTTTTAATTTTTAATTTTTTTTATTTATGTTTAAATCTGAGTTATTATAAATTTGATTTGCATAACCACACATGCAATGGTAAACACTATTCTATACATGCGCATTCTTTATTGTTTCACGATATAAACAAAACACATTCGTAGAATAATTTATTTATTTCGATGAGATTAATGACTATTCTGATGTGAAACCAGGAATTGGATTTAGAAGATTAATAAAATCTTGTTTAAATAATGAAATTGCAATCTTAATGTTGTTCACAATTGAAGCATTCTCAAAGATCTTAGGATTCAACTACGCTTAGGCAAGAGTTTACACCTAAATTAGCAAGTTCTAGAAAATAACGACGGTAATAAATAGTAAAGCAAATAAAAAAAAAACAACTAGAATCCGGCGGTTAACAAAGCGATTGTCTCACCTTGAGGCTACGCTCATTCACCTACTTCTAGGTTTGTTGGGAGAAGAACAACCACACAAGTGATGAAACCACTCCGAGGGCGACGGTGCCGTAGATCCGTAGGGAAGGAGAGGAAGGCGCCG